AAAGGATACCTATAAAAAAAAATCAAGAGTCTTGGGAATAGAATTGCCAGAGTTATCAAATAAAAATAGATGCCCATTTAAATTTGAATTTTAGGTAAACCATGAATATTTTCAGTACCAAGGTGACCCAAATATTGCATAAGTATATCCCAAATAGTATAAGTATATCCCAAATAGTATATGCATAATGAATAATTTTTCCTACCACTGAATCCAAAATATTATATGAATTTTGTAAGTATAGCTTAAGTATAGTATGGGATATACTTAGACTAAAAAGGTAATTCATAGTTTACCTAAAAATAAAATTTAACTGAGTGTCCTGTATTTTGTTTGGCAACTCTGCTTGGAAGGCATCATGTGAACATGTGGTTCTGGTACTTAAGTAACTGGGTAGCCTTGGGCATCTCACTTAACCTACCTGAACCTAAGTTTCATCATCTGTAAAATGAGAGCCTATAATAGATATTTGCAGATTTTCTATGAAGACTAGAAAATATTTATTTAAAACTCCTGGAACCTTAATAGAGTGTCATGAAAAAGTAGCTGTTATTATCACAATAAAGAAGGAATACAAATGGAAGTTACCAGGGTTATTTTTAGCTTCATAATAAATAATAGCACTCAGCAATTAAACAGTTCATTCAATTAATAATAGAAGAGTCCACCTAGATGTTGGTGACTATATACCAGATCAGAGATTTAAATAATAAAATATATACAAGCATTAACTTTCCTCTGCTCCTCTATTACTTGCCAGTTATGTTACTTACCAAAGGTTGCATAACTTACTAATATCAGCCTGCATATATGTTACCTTTTCACATTCTTTTTTTTTTTTTACTAATTCACATTTTTATTTCAATCCTATCTTTCTCAAATATTAATTTTGTAAAATTTTATTGAGACCTAATTTATATATAAAATGCACCACTTTGGAGTATATAATTCAGTAGTTTTTATTATATTCACAAGATTGTGCAACCAACACCACTGTCTAGTTTGAGAACATTTTCATTAGCCCAAAAGAACCCATACTCAGTAGCAGTTACTCCACATTTTCCCCTCTCCCAGCCCCTGGCAACCACTAATCTAATTTTTGTTTTTATGGGTTTAACCGTTCTGGATAGTACTTATAAATAGAATCATGCCACATGTGGCCTTTTGTGTCTGACTTCTTTCACTTAGCATAATATTTTAAGGTTCATCAATGTTGTAGCATGTGTCAGCACTTCATTCTTTATAGAACTAGAGGCCCAGTGCAAAAAATACATGCACAGGTAGGGTCCCTAGGCCTGGCTGACAGGACCATTTGGGGCCATCAGGGCCAATCAGGGCCTTCTTTCCCTGGTTGCTGGCTGCCAGCAGGGTCCTTTCTTCATTCTGTGACACCCCCTGGTGGTCAGTGCATGTCCTAGCGAGCAATTGAACTCCCATTCTCCTGGTCAAACTCCTGAGTGACAATTTGCATATTAGCTATATATATATATATATATATATATATATATATATATATATATATATATATATAGCTATATATATATTGGGTTGTTTCTTGTATAAGTGAACATTCTTGTATAAGTTTTGGTATGATTATGTGTTTTGGTTTTGTTTTTTTCCTCTTAGGTAGTGAAATTGCTGGGATAGAGTATAACTCTTTTTTTTTTTTTTAACATTTTAAGCAACTGTTTTTCAAAATGACTCACTATTTTACATTTACACATTTCTCCACAGCCTCACTTACTATTATAATTTCAGCTGTCCTAGTAGGTGTGAAGTAGTACCTCACTGTGATTTTGATTTTCCATTTCCTAGTGATTAATTACCTCAAACACCTTTTGATGTACTTATTGGCTATATGTATATTTTCTTTCAGAAAGATCTATTCAAATCATTTGCCTATTTTTATAAATGGGTTATTTCTCTTCTATTTGTTGAATTGTAAGAGTTTTTATATATTCTAATAAAAATGATTTGCAAATATTTTCTCCCATTCTGTGGGTTATCTCTTCATTTTCTTGACAGAGTTTTTTGATGGATGAAAATTTTTAGTTTTTGATGATTTGTTATCTATGTTTTCCTTTGTTTGCTTGTGCTTTTGGTATCATATCACATTATCTTTTCTTCCTCAAATAATAAAACACATACTAAACTAGGAATAAAGAGATATGAGCTCTATTCTCACCTCTGCAATTACAGAAACGTGTGAGCTTAAGCAATTACTGAAACTCATTGGGAACTCAGTTCCACATCTGTGAGAAGAAGCTGGGTTCAGCAGAGCAGGCACTTTGTAACTTTTTATGGATATGTTATCTGTTTGAAATCCCCTACATTAGTAGTTCTCAACCTGGGTTACATATAGAAGTCTCTGGAGACATTTTTGGTTGTCACAACTGGGGATGGTTGTTACTGGTATCTAGTGAGTAGAGGTCAGAGGTGCCATAAACATGTTACAATGCACAGGATGGCTCTTCTAACAAAGAATCATCCAGACCAAAATGACAGTAGTGCTGAGGTTGAAAGGTCCTGCTCTAAAATTATATTTCTGTTATTCCAGCTTCTTTTCAGTGTGGATATTTGAGCCTGTCTGCAGGAACCAGAGCATTTTGTGCTCTTAACCTAATGCTAGAGGTCCCGGCCTGATGGGGGTAGTGGAAGGGAGAGGGAGAGGGACCAATAATTCTTTCAAGTCAGGAGATCTTTTTGAAAGTGTTTTGTTTCAGGGCTTTTAAAAACTATTGTGCCTTATAATATGAAGAGAAATATTTTGATACAGACACCTCCAGGCAAAGTCTTGTAGATGTGTTCTTGTTATTGAGTCCTTTTCTTTAGGGTTTCTGGAACAAAATAGTTTTTGTGAAATAGTTGGTACATACTATGAAGTATATTTAATCAATCGTAACAAAAAAAAAAGAAACAGAACAGCTTGATGGGAGAAACGTGAAATTCATATATCTCTGTATTAGTGAATTCTCCGATCTCAAAGGAAGTTAATATTGTTATTCCAGCTGATCAGGTCACTTCCACTTTATCCCATACTATCTACTGGAATGTCCCGATTCACCTGAGTTCCATAAATAATCTATCCTATCTAATAAAAGAGTAATATTCAAATTAAACACCACTCTGCTACAGCCACAAGCCACACCCACCAGCCATGCCTATAAGCCAATCAGAGAGCATATGCAAATTAATCCCAACCAAGATGGCTGCAGCCAAGGAGAGAGTAGGAGGGAGGCTTGGGTTTCCCTGGTGATGGAATGAGCCAAGCTTTCCACACATCCTGGCCAGTCCAGACCTCCACTCAAGGGTACAAAGTTTAAATTATAGAAGGTAAATAAATTCCAACAAAAATGGCAGCAGCCAAGGAGCTGGAAGAACAGGAGGCTAGGATTGCGCCTGGCAATTGAGAAAGCCAAGCTTCTGCAGTCCTGGCTAGCTCAAGGCTATAAAGTTTCAAGTATAGAAGATACATAATTTCTTTTTTTTAATTTATTTTATTTTATTTATTTTTACATATTTTATTGATTTTTTTTGCCCCCCTCCTTCCCTCCCACATATCCCCTCCCTCCCCAGAGTTTTATGTCCATTGGTTGTACTTATATGCATAATTTCAACAGAAATGGCTGCTGCCATGGAGCAAGCAGGAGGCTTGGCTCTGCTCGAGGCTACAAAGTTTCAATTGTAAAAGATAAATAAACCCCAGATACCAGGGCCTCTGCTTGGGTCGCCAGGGGCCGTGGCCAGCCTGCAAACCACCATAGGCCCCTCTCTCAGGCTGCTCCACCCTGATCCGGGACACCCTTCAGGGAAAACTAGCTGCCACCCCCACCCACACACCAGGCCTCTATCCTATCTAATAAAAGAGTAATATGCAGATTGACTATCACTCCAACAAACAAGATGGCTGCCTGCATTTGGTCAAAGATCCTTCCCCCATGTGGATACAAGATGGCCACCACAAGATGGCCAGCAGGAAAGTGCAGTTGAGAGGGAACAGGGCATAAAGGAGGGCAGTTGAGAGGGACCAGGCCTGCAGGGGAGGGCAGTTGGGGGCAAATAGGCTGGCAAGGGAGCAGTTAGACATCAATCAGGCTGGCATGGGAGTGGTTAGGGGTTGATCAGGCTGGCAGGCAGAAATGGTTAGAGGCAATCAGGATGGCAGGTAGGTGAGCAGTTAGGAGCCAGCAGTCCTGGATTGTGAGAGGGATGTCTGTCTGCCCATTTAGACCGGGTCTAAATTGGCAGTCAAACATCCCTCAAGGAGTTCCAGATTGGAGAGAGTGCAGGCTGGGCTGAGGGACACCCCTGACCCCCCGTGCATGAATTTCATGCACCGGGCCTCTAGTCTGAAATAAAAGACAATAGCTTGAAATATGCTGCAGCATTTATAAAGATGTTGGCATGTAAAAAGCTATTAAACTTGCAGGTATTTCTTTCCTGTGCTAATATGGCTAATTATTTCATGCTTTGTACCTTTAGATATAATTGTTACCACCACAACTACCACCACCATCATCATCATAGACTAAGTGTTCTAAGCACTTTTTAAATGTATCTCATTTTTTGTCACAAAAATCTTATGAGGTAGTTTTTTTTTTTTAATCCCCACTTTGCAGATAAGAGCATAAGTTATAATAATCTTGTAAAATACTTGTTAAACCATATTTTTTATATTAAACATTTTCTTGTATATCAAAACTGTTTTATATTTTAACAACAGAGAAAGTGTATTTATTATTGAGTCTGTAAACATTCATGTCCTGAATTTTCTGGCACCCTAGGTAATGTTAATTAAAGCCTGAGTTATTTCTACTTTATTCAGTGTCTTACAGTTATTGGTTCTTGTAGCTTATATACATATGTAGCTTAAAGCTACTGTAATACTTTTTCCATCTGTGAACATCCATGTGCATGTGTGAAAATGTAATTTTAAAATTGCACAACTTCTCCAATATATATAAGTAATGAAATGATTCTAACTTTTTTAAAATGTACAGGAAGCAGTAAAAGAAAACAACAAAAGAAAAGAAATGGAAGAGAAGACTAGGAGGGCAAAACTTGCAAAAGAGAAAGCTGAACAAGAAAAGCTGGAACGCCAGAAGAAGAAGAAACAGCTCATTGATATAAACAAAGGTATGAAGTACTTCCATGTTTTAAATGATCTATACAATGCAAAACAATAGCACTTAATTAATTTTGGATTATAAAGTGAATTGTGTTCTTGGTAGAAAAAAAATCACAATATTATTAATTACTTGTGTTAAATTCTCTCATGAAATTATCTTAATTTCTTGTCACCCTACACTGAGCACTGAGGATTTTTGGCAACCAATTCAAGGTAATAGTAATATGTTGTTGAAACAGTCTTTTTCTCTTCATTATTTTCTTTTTTTGCCAAATTATGTTCTGGATGAGGCCATGGTGAGGGAAGAAGGGGGCAAGATGAAGAGTTTACTGGTATGGGGAGATGAGCCTTATAGCTCCAATTTTAATTTTGTTGACACAGAGAGCAATAATTAACACTTTTCCTAGGGGGCTTGAACATTTTAAGTAATAATGCACTATTATAAACAGGAAAAGCTAGGGAGCAGCATCCTGCTCAGCTGTGAGCCTAGGAGCAAAATGCTGGTATATCCACGTAGTATAAAGTAGTTGTTTTGTTGCTAAGCAAGAATGACCATAGATTAAAGGTAGTTTTTTTGTTGTTGTTTTCTTTTCTTTCTACAGAAGAGAATGTAAATAAAGTGATTGGCACTAGATAGCTTCCCCCTGAAAATACAAGAATGAAAAAACCATAATCTCTGCCACTGTGGGTTAGAGAATTTAAAAACAAAGCAAAATCAGAGCAAGATAAAAAACAATGATTGATATGGACCCCCTATTTCTAAATATAGTGATAATCAAAACCATAAGCACTATATAATGTTGAGTATGTTCTATGTGCTGTTCTAAGACTTTCACATGTTTGAAGTAAATTAATCCTCATAACACCTCTGTGAGGTAGGTATTATTATCTCACTTTTCAGATGAGGAAACTGAGGCTCATAGAAATTAAGGAACTTGCCCAAGGTCACACAAACAGAATTTACTAGCACCAAGATTAGAATCCTAGCAGTCTGGCTAGGAATCTTTGCTCTTGTAAATGCATTGTCAAATAATAATAATAAACACAAACAAAAACAAACAAACAAACAAACAAAAACATGGAGTGCCTGCTATGTACCAGAAACTTTGCTGGGAGATTTACATGTGTGAACATATTTAAGCCTCATAAAATCCTGTTAGGAAAGTGCTACTATTTCATTTTAAGATGAGAAAACTAGGCGCACAGAAGTTAAATTGCTTGCTCAAGTTCACAAAGATAGTAAGAGATAGAACCAAAATCTTGACCTAGATAGTCAATGGCCCAAGTTCACTAGTAATTATTATGATATATTTTATTATGATTATTAGTGAGTATCAATTATTATGTGGTAATATCTCTAAATGAATAATCTGAAATAATATATATTATTATATATTTATATATTATTTATTAATATATAATTATTTATTAATAAATAATATCTATAATATCTATAATTTAAAAAGAACTAAAAAAGTAGACAGCCAAGGTAAAACAGTATCAACATCATTTAGCAATCTTTATAGAATATAGTTTTGTTCCCACACCACACCACCACCCCCTCCCCAACTATTTATCAACTTCCACTGTATTCCTAAAAACATATCTATAAAGAAATAAAGGGCCTATACTGATTGTGCCTATAATATATATTCTTGTTCACCAAGATTTTATTAATTACCTCTTCAAGTAAAATTGAAGACATAGAATAAAGATCCAAATAACTTCTTAAGCATGTGCTTAGCTGAGTGATCTGAACATGAAAGACACACCTTAAAATAGGATTTATCTTTGTGTATTGTTACCTTATCTCTATTTACAGATCAAATAGCAAACTTCACCATGAAGTTCTTAATTTGTGGCCCTTGTGTTTCAAATACCTACTATTTTTATTTATTGTAACATTATTTTACACCAAGTATGTGTGTTAGTCCTTATAAATATGTTTCAACAAGAAAGCCTTTCATTGGAAGTGTATAGTCTTTTTTATTGTAGATATTTCAATTTATTGTCTACATATTAGTCACAATTGAAAAGGGAATTATAATCCCGCTCTCTAGAACATGGGAAGACAATGGAAGGTACTGTTATACAAATGGAATATAAGAATGAAAATGGAATATGTTATTTTCAACCACATTCATATTACACAGTTTTAAAATGATCTAATATCTTATAAAGACCAAGTACTTATTTGAAAACATAGAGTTGATAGATGATATATGCCACCTAAGTATCAGTTCAAAGACATAAACAATTTTATTGGTGGTACTTATGTGTGAGGAACTCTTTACAATATGTAACTATCATGTTTCAAGGGACATGATTTAACAGTTAAGCTTTTATATTACAAAGCAAGTTTAAGTATTAATTATTTTAGAAATAAACCACCAAAACTGGAATTACATTTAACTATATTCAAGGAAAATGGTAAATTAGTTGATAAAATTTGCCTACCTACTAGAGAAAATCTTAATCAGTTGAGATAGACAATGCAGGAATGATTTAGCTTTTTGACACACAGAAGGCAACACCTGCTATTATGTGAACATTAGTTTAAAAAATAAAAAAAGCTTACTGTCATGGATACTTAGGTAGTTGGCCAACTTCTGACCTAGGAGACATATGAAGCCACAACAAATGAAACACCCCAGGAATAATAAAAACCTTCTTTCTTATCATAGCTTTATTTCTCTTCTGTTGTTTTAGTCTCCAAATACATCTGGCACAGCACTGCATTAGGGCTGTAAATAAGTGCATCAGTTTCATCTCCCAACTCTTGTTAACTGTTCCAGTAAACACACACAAGGATAATGGTCTTTTAACATATCTGGCAGTTTAGAATTCTTGTCTTGAAGATGTTGAAAATGTCTGACTGGTGTTAGAAACTATAGCTCCTTAAATGTAGAATTTGTTTCATTCAACTGCATTTTCTTTTTTACATTTTGCAAGTATGGTGTAATAGACACATTCTATTTTATTAAGCAACTTTCCCTAGTTTCTGCATTGGGGTTTCAACATCATTGGTTATCTTGCTCTTTTTCGCAATCTTCAAATACCACATTTCTATGATGTTTACTTTCCATTTCAGGTTTTTCTGACTCTAGATGACTCTAGATTTGTTCCTCGGTTGAACAAGTCTCCTCAAATTTTTCTCCAAATTTAACCCTTTCTTGACTCTTCATTGTTAGAATATCTGCAGTTGAATGTTGCTTTTCTTCAGTAGGCTTAGCTCTTGCCAGAATGGCCTTCTCATAGATTGAGATAATATTTCCAATAGAACTTGTAAGTGCTTCAACACGCACATACCCAATATTTAGCAAGTGTTTTGGGCATATGAAATATTTTTAATCAGTTCATTCAGTGTGTCTAATAGTTCTTCTTTGGGGCATTGCTCATTAACCAGCTTTAGGCCTTCACAAAAGGTCTTGTTTTCTTTTCCAGGAAGTAGTCTGTGTTCATCTTCTGACATGGTAGTCCAAAGGACCCAATTGATTTTTCATTTCTGGTTCAGGCTGGGGAACAACTGAGTTAGGAGAATTTTTAGCATTCTTCCTTTGCTAGCTCTCCACTTACTCAGATGAGCTTTTCTTTCTTTGTAGTTTCTTTGGGATGAGCCCATCTGCTATCGATACTTGCTTTTGTTATAGTATGTCCACACTGGTCTTGGGATTTTGACTTTTCTCTCAGTTTGGTGTTAGAAAATGAAGCAAGCCTGGCTATGATTTCAGATGTGACACTTCTTGATATTGTCTTATTTCTTTTTACTTCCTGAGAAGAGCTGGTTTTGATGCTAGAGAAAACTATTCAATTGTAGTAATTCTTTCTCATGAGATCCTTTCCAAATTGTAACATTGGCAGAGGTTCCACTGATGCCTTGTTTCAGGGAGTCCAGGGTATTATGGGTGTTATTGTGGTTTTCTAAATGAATTAAACTCATATTAAACAATTTGGCCATAAGCACAGGATTCTTGAGCATGTTAGCACCTTGCTTTACTTTCCCATGGTTACTTGTTTCTTTTTATTATTGTTTTAATATGAAACACTTGGCTTAATGTCATACATTGACCTTGGGGCTCATCTTTAATTGGTAACAACTGCAGATTTTTATTATTATTGTCCAAATTATGTGTGTCAATTGCTATAGTCAAATTAATTAATTCATTAGAAGGTTTTAAAGGAATATATTTTTTCTGTTTTAATATTATTTTTGTGCCTTGTAGTCCTAAGGACATTTTCTTTATGAGACTTTTTTGTCTTAGGTTTCTTCTTGGACATGACCCTTATGTGTCATCACTCTGTAGTTGCTACTGGATAATATCTGCTTTTCCTGTTTATATGCAAAAAAGAAAAAAAGGTGTTTTTTTTTTGGACATATGTTTCTTGAGTTTTTGTTTTCTTTTCTCTCTAAACACGAACTGGGCTTTCTGACTCAGAGGAAGCTGCAGGTCATATGGCAGTACAAGGTCACATGTGGACTTAATTAAGATGAAAAGATCCTGAAAAGAAATAATAATTAGAATAGCATTGCATGTCAAGATGGAACTCTGTCAGTGAGCGTCTCAGACAGTGTCTCATAAATGCTGTTGTTAACTAGGTGTAAGTCAATTACAGACATTCTGAGAATCAGGGAGGAAGCATGGTAGAGCTACACAAAATGTGAATCCATGGGAGATGTGAGAATGAGGTGCAGTCAGAAAGTGATTTAGAGAACTTTAAATGTGTCCAATTAGAACAGTGTATTCCACTTTTCATTGAGGGAACATTGTAATCTTCCTTTCACTGAACAAACGATGACATAGAATATTTGACTGCATTTGTGAGACCTATTATATTATGTAGAGCAGAGATTTTCAATCTTTTAAATCTCTTGGCACACAAAGTAATTACTAAAACCCCGTAGCACACCAAATATATATATATATATATTTTTTTTTCTGATCTGACAAAAAATAGGTATAATTTTGATTCATTCACACTGGACAGCTATTATTATGTTCCTTGTTGT